ATCACTTCATCATAATAAGAATGACTTGTATGCTAAATAACACCCTCTCTCAAATTTACTATTCAGCATGCTAAATTTTATTGATTTTGACTAGTAAGGTTGTTTGAAATTAAAACTTCATTTAACATTATCTCCCACTTCCAAAGCTCTTCTCTCGAATTCAACAATATGAATATGCCTAAAAATTTAGAGACAGATTGAGTTTAAATATAGTTTGACCTAATTTAGGTTCACTAAACCTTATTTATTTTTAATCCCCCTTGTCCTAACAATGTTAAACAAAGTTTCAAATTCAAACAGCTAAAATAAAAAAATTTTTTATACTTATCAATATATAACTTTTTGTAGGACCATTTGATTCATGAAATAAAGTTATTACGGCATCATCTAAAGCGATATTACGAAAAAGAATTGGTAGTAAGTGAAAATAGTACTACTTATCATACAAATTGCATAAATCATTGTTTATTATTTGCTTTTAGTGAATGTAAATACCAGCATTTTTCACGGTGTCAAGAATGTGACAAATTCTTTAATGTATTTGAAGATCTTAAAAATAAACTTGATAATACCTATCATGATAAACTCTCAGAATGCCAAGAACAATTAACATGTTATTTAGCACATCAAACCTGTAAAACATATCTGAATGCTCAATTTAATTCGATATTGCGTGAGTTAGATAACCATGGAGCTGTTATCGTAGTTGATTATAAAATGCGAATTTTGCCTGTAACAGCACGAGAGACAAAGAGTCAATTTTTTGAAAAAATGTGGGTGGACACTTCATACAACTTTAGTGTTCCAAAAAGATAAGAATAATAATAAAAAATTAGATATTCAGGCCTATGATCATTGGAGTTCTGATACCAAACAAGATGCTTGGTTCACCACATCGTGTTTTGAAGCAGTATTCATGACAATAGACCCCAAACCACAATGGATTAAAATCATTTCAGATAACGGAGGGCACTATCATAACTCAGAGCTAATGGCAATTATTAGTCTTTGATATAATTGGTATAATATAGAGGTATGTGGATGGGTCTTCCTTGAGCCAGGAGAAGCAAAAACTACTGTTGACTCTCACCATGCAACAGTAAGTAGATTTGAATTATGCTCAATTTGTTTATGTTCTACTAATAAATTCAATGTTAATAATAGGTTGCACATGCAATTAAAAGATATATCAGAATCAGGTATGATCTTACTGAAGGATCAAATATTGAAGCAGCACTTCAAGATTTGAGTGGAATGTCCATATCACATATAGAGCCAAATCGTGATAAAATAGCAGAGTTATCAGCAAGTCAAGACAATATAAAGATAAATTCGAAATCATCTAAGTAAGTTTAAATATAAAAATTATACTTCTAATATTTCTTATTTCTATATAATATGAGAATTAGTCACTAATCGAAATCAGTTTTAGCAAAAAAAAATTCAAGACTATACCCGGTATTTCAAAATAGTTTGAGTGGTCCTGGCCTGTAACAGATGAATTTGCAGGATATATTCGTGCTCGTTCTCTTCCTCATATAGGTGTATGGACTGAATTCCGGCCTGAACAGATCGCTACTTTTTATAACAGACCAACTCCTATATTTTCTGAGCCACCTAAACCCAAAACTGCATGGTCAATGCTAGCTTCTAGAAAAACAAAGATAAAAAAATACTTATTTTTACTGTTGATTATCAAAATAAAATAAAATAAAATTTTATTCTGTTATATAGACACAGATAGCAATAAAACAGACAACAAATCAGGTAATGTGAACATCTAGTTGACTAAAACTGGCAGTCGACTTCTCAATAATAATAAATATACCTAGCAGACTATAATGTCTATAAGGTTGGGGATTATACAGTATAATATTTATTATACTGTTATTATACTGACCTTCACATGCTATGT